GCTTGATGAAGCTCCGCCAGCATGGCTCGATGAAGCAATGGCACGCATCGACCCTCCATGAGCAGGATCATGGACGCTGGCTGCGCGAGCGCACAAGCATACCCACTAGCTTACAACAACGGGTCATGAATTTCTGCAAAAGTAAGAAACCAAAAACATAATAGGGATCAACTCAAGCATGCCCAGGGTTTACGGTGGTAAGCCTCTGCAATAGTATAACATGGCTAAGGAAGCTCGATGTTACCTTCATCGTATCCCTCATCTTGGTGTTGGATTCCACGGTTCCGGCTTCATACGAAAGCGCGTTCGAGACATCAATAATGCTTCTGTTGAGCTCTGAAGCTTGCACATGCAAGCATTATGTTAAAGGCCAAGTTTTCACCCAACCACTCATAGCTAAAATTAAATGAGAAAACCACTTACCACCCTGTTCATCAGGGGTGCATACTCCCTGAAATCACCTTCGAGATCTCTGAGCCGGCAACGGTATGCTTCATCCTCGCTGGCATCCTCCTCCAATTCGGTGATATCGTCTTCCGTCCACTGCGGCCTCAGGCATATACGGTACTTGACACCATCGTCATACCACTTCATGTGGTCTTCACGGTAGGAGTTCAACTCAGGCACTCTCCTCTCACCGTCTTTGCGATACCTCCTCTCGTCCCATGCTTGCACGTGGTCCTTGTGCTCGTGCCCCTAGTCTATGATGGACTGACAATTATTTCTACTCTTCCTGCAAGGCATAGGAAACAACGGGCATCATGACAACGTCAAACATAAACGAAAACATAGCAAGTAGAGAACAATGTCCTCACAGTGAAGGGCAAACCAGCCGGTGTCGGTGGGTGACCCGGTGAGGTATGTTGGAATATCCCAAACTGTGTGGCCACACGCTATGGTAAGTGCCCCTCAACGGCGTACACACATATCAAGGGCACAATGCACCGCTAGGCAAGCCAATCCTCCTCGCACATCGAGTTGAGCTCACCCATTCTTGGTTGTGGTACGGCCTCCAGTTAACCTATAGAAGGATTGTTAAGAACAATGAAAATTGCTACGAAACAATTGATAAGCTACTTGGTATATCTGAGTTCTGTTAGGTTGTCCAACTCGTTGCTGAAGAGCTTGTACAGCGTACTAGCCTTGCCCGTGTAGACCTTCACCTTGTCCCAGGCGTACGCGATGATCAGGTACCGAGCACTGTCCCCTTCTTCGCCATGATCCGTCCATGCACGCGAGCGAACTCTCTCAGGACGGCAGACCGGCAACCGCTCCCACATGCAAATTGAAAGGGCCCAAACAAATCCACACACGCCGGAGGTCTCTTCGGTCCTCTCCATTGCGTCATCCAGCTGCAAACATGAAGTGATGATGATCAGGTAACACAATCTCAACCAACATACATAGGTCAAAAAACCACGTATTGAGATTTTTATCTTACCGAGCCGTACAAGTAAGCTAGGCCGGCGGACCCCCGGCTGTACCCCGCATCCCAGTCCTCCAGGAAGCCGAGATACATCCATAGGGCGCTATCCCCCGAGCAATCTAGAAAGACGACCTCCGTCAGAAGGTACCATAAATAGGCCCTCGCGTACTGCTCCACTGTCCGCTCATCGGCATCCTGCGGGCATACGGACCGGATCTCGAGGAGCCACTTGAGTCGCACGTCGGATGTTCTGTTCCCCTTCATGGGAGGGCAGTCGCCAATGAGGGCGATCACCCTCTCCTGCCAGTTGGTCCTCTCCACTCGCCCAGTGAGAGCACGTCCCTGGATTGGCAGGGCCGTGATCATGCCGAAGTCCTTGAGAGTCTATGTCATCTCACCGCAGGGGAGATGAAAACTGTGTGTCTCGGGGCGCCACCTGTCGATCAATGCCGTGAGAGCCGAGTGGACGAGCGTCGGCGGGTGTCTTTTTGAACTAAAGAACGAAACCCAACATCTGTGCTCTCCTAAAGTACCGAGTTAAGCGCTCGTCGTACTGCATTTGCACGGCCTTTGTGTGGCCCCTCATCCGCAATGGGGGGAGCATCTGTCAAAATGTAAACGGAATTGTTAGTGACTTGTTCTGACATAATAAACAATACAACAAACTGATGATAGACATTACCACTCCGTTCTCCATAAAACGGGCGCGGTGATCGTTGTCGAAAGCATGATCAAGCATGGTGTACTTCACAGCGATTTCTGGCGCAAGGGGGGCCGCCTATAACAATTGGAAATGATGTCATTTTCAACCAGCTTGTATCATTTTTGAACAAACATGAAACATATCAAGTCCAAATATAAATGAATCATATTCAACCGACATGAATCATATCATTTTCATCATTTTGAACAAACATGAAACATATCAAGTCCAAGTATAAATGGATCATATTCAACCGACATGAATCATATCATTTTCATCATTTATCACTTATTCAACCAACATTCATCAATGTGAATGAATCATATTCAACCAACATCTTTCATTCAACAACATTCAACAACATTCAACAATGCATCATATCATAATTTTGTTTAAAAATTATGAACTAGGGTTCATCTTGAGGGTTCACCATTTTTCTCCAACAACATCCACTACTTGCATCATATAACATCCACACGCGTCATATATCAAAACAAATTCCTCCAACATGCATCATATCATATCATCATTTTTTTAAACAAGAAAAACTATGAACTAGGATTCATTTTCACACTATCATTCGAACTAGTGAGTAGGGTTCATATTCAACACCACTAGTGATTAGAGAACATTGAAAAGCAACCTAAAACAATCCTAGGTAAAAAATCAATTTTAATTCAAAATAGGGGTGATTTGAAGCAAATAATGCGTCGAAACGGAAGCTATTTGACTAAAAGTAATTGAAGAGATCAAAGGAGCTTACTTTTCTTTCTTTCGAGCCATCTCGATCCGCAAAAATGGTGTAGAAACGGTGAAGATCCAAGGGAAGGAGTAGAGAGGGCGAGAGAGAGGAACTCCCTCTGTTCTTGGCGGCTGGGAGGAGAGGGGATGGGGGAGATGGGGCTGGGGCGGGGGCGTCGGCCCCTGTAAGTACTCGCGCC